GCGCACTGCACCGGTATATGCTATATATATAGCAATGTATTCATGGTTCGTATACTGAAGTATAGGCATGAAAAGTTAGCGTGGCTACCTCGAAAGGTTTTCACCAGTTCAAATTTTGTGCTACAGTTTTATTCAGAAGTGTCGAGTCCTTTGCAGTTGCCTCTGTGACTGACCGGGTAACATACCAACATGACAATACACACTGCATCTGCAAGCCAAATACCGTTGTATATGACGACATGCTTCTGTCGACTGTGAGGAAAAGCTGTCAGCCGGAGCTGAGCGCATCCCTGTCGTACCCAGGAATTACTGCCAGTTGTAGTTGTAGCCTGGCATGGGCACATTGAGTGTCTTGGCTTCTCCGTCGTCGTCATAGAGCACCTTGTCATCGTCCCACGTGTAGACGCCCACGTCGCAGAGCGTGATACGATAGTCCTCGGGATCGGCAGTGGCCCTGTCACAGGCCTCGTTGTGCTGTGTGACTGTGATCACATTGCCCTTGGCTGCATCGTATATGCTTCTTTGTACTCCCCACGCCTTAGTGTAGTCTAGCGGCCATCGCGGCCAGCAGAAGGCCTTGATGCTTGGGTTGAAGCTGTCCTTGTGCGATTCTGTATCGATGACTCCGCGACGTCCCTTGAGGTGATCCGGCCGCTTAAGGTTCACATACTTATCTTTGATGTTCCACCCAGGCCCAATATTCTTCTCCTTGTACGTCTCGGTTTCTTCACTCAAATTGTACAGACTTTGGTTGAAGTTCATTGCGTCTAGACCGTCGTCGACAGACACTGCTCCTGTTTTCGCCATCTTGTTGTATTTGTACGAATCCGGCAATGGGGGCGCAAAGTAACCATCGGTCGGTGCCCACAATGGGCTAGCGGACTCGTACTTTATTTCCCTGTAGTTTTTGTAGGGTACGCAATCGTGTGTGATTTCGCCGGTCGTGGAGTTGGAGATGGTGATGGTCACATTGTTCATGGCATCTAGATTGTCAGAATCTTGGTTGAAAATTCGCACCTACCCGATCAGTAAATTAGGATGGGGAGTAAGAGAGAATGGTGTTGTGTTAGTGAACTGGTGTTAGTGGACAGGTGTGGTACAGAAACTACTGAAGGAGAATGGAACTACTGAAGGGGTATGGTACCGTGACAGACTCACAGTGTCGGTGAGAAAGGCCCATCGGGTGTGCAGAATATGTAGGCATGAACAATCGAGAAACGCTCATACATAAGGATGTGCAGAATATGTAGGCATGAACAATCGCTTTCACACTGTCCTACCGCATAGATGTTGTACGCTTCAGGCAGCTCCACCTTCCACCAGGGATTGAGCTCTTCGTCAGTGGCGGTCTCCACATTACTGATCACGCCAGTTTTAGCGCAGGTATCGATAGGAATGTTGATAGGACCGCGGACCTCGTCCCCGATGTCCTTGAGACCTACTGCGCCCTTGAAGACCATACTGGCATTACCGTTCAGAGTCGACCCCGACGCGGTGTAGCTGCTCATAGTTGCCACAGCAGTATCAGGGTGTACTGTGCGAAGCACATTGGCTGTAGGATTTTGTGGTTAGGTGAGGGTTTTGTGGTGAGATGTTTATGATGCGAGAATGAATACATTTGATATCACTTCCTCCCAAGACAATTCAATATCGGCAGACACGTGTAAGTGCAGTCGGGTCTATCGTTACCGTCAAACAGGACTATAGACAAGTCACCACTTCCTCACTACAAAATACATAATGTAAATAATTGTCAACACTACTGCCGTTTGTAGATATCCGTTTGCCTCTATTGCATATATTCCATAGGTGTGATGTAATACTCTTATGTACAGAAGCGAGATTGACTTTCCTCGGCACATACGGGCAGCCATCGCTGCATAGTCTATGTCTGAGTAGTACCACTCCATTTGTAGAGAATATCCGCCCCGATAACCCCAATTATTCCATTCCTGATGAGCAGTGCCGAGATTGCCCCAGGCTCTTTAAATGCCCGTACCGAGGAAGAATTCCTCAGTGTAGTCGATAACGGCGTATCCGTCGGCGACATTGCACTCGCAGGAACTGAACTGCTTATCAAATTTTTCATAGTCGATCTGGTCCAGTTCTAGAGATGGATCGCTAAGTACATGGTCAGTGCCCCACTTGATGAGTTCCTCGTAAAATCCCTGTGTTCCGCGAACTGCGATTTGCGTCTATCTGCAGTGTAGTTCAATGCCTTCTGACTCCTGAAGGGGCACTTTCATTCGGAACACGTTCTGGATTTTCTGTCACATTTGTTGCAGCCGTCGTACATTAGCCATTGATCATACGGTCCCTGCTCACGGAAGGGATTCGTATTTTTTGCAGCCAGTGCGGCCGTCCGAGGCGTTACTTTGTCTGTGTACCTATATATATCATCGGCGTCACGGAATAGTTCGGCACACTGATAAGAGTTTTCAAGAGCTAGTCGTTCCACCCAGTATGTAGCTTACTTCAACGGATGAGTGGGAGCGAGATAGTGGTCATACTCGATATGTTCAGCCTGCCTACGTTGGTAGGGCTGGACTCCTTCGTTCCACTTGGAGCATTCGTAGTATGCAAAGTCGGATGAGTGGGAGCGAGATAGTGGTCATACTCGATATGTTCAGCCTGGCTACGTTGGTAGGGCTGGACTCCTTCGTTCCACTCGGAGCATTCGTAGTATGCAAAGTTGTATTTCCCCCACGCTTTATAACCTGTTCTGCACTGCGCACAGCCAGGGCCTAGGCTCATCGCACGTATACGTGTTGTTGTTCATCAATAAAGGTACCCACATGCCGGTTTCGTTGGTCATCTTTATCCAATCTCTGGCGAGATCAATATCTTCCAGATTCGTAACGATAATTGCCCCTTGAGCCTTCTTTCTTTGTGTCGGCCTGCCAATCTCCTGCTAGCATACCCCTAAATTTCATATCTTGGTGTACTCATCTGCCAACTACTCCCCAAACAGAGTCGTCGGACCTGCCCACGGCAACCGCAAACTGGATTGGAACGCATATGTGATGCGTGAAAATCAGTACGTCAACACCCCATGGGCCATTAAGGATGCATACACAATTCCAACATTTTGGGGTATTACTATCTACCCAAACTACCCGAACTGGATCAGTCCCCAGAAGAATCAGTATGCCGACAAGCCCCGCACCTGGATGGCCGGACAAATTGTCGCCGAGGCATTCTTCAATGGGCGCGTAGACTACGGTCTGGTGGACACTGTAGAACCAGTGTACGCCACTAACAACTACCTGGATGTCTCCCTGGGCGAGGTAGTGGTGCTCGACAAGGTCCAGTCAAGCGGTCTCAACATCCAAATGCAGGCGGCCGAGTGGGCGTACACTCACAATACTGTCCACCGTGATCAACACGTATGCCGCAAAGCCTCGGACTTCACAACCTTCACCCAGAACGTCGACAACAAGCTCCTGTCACTGCCCCGACAACCAGCAGATGAAGATGGGTATGGCCGCATCTTCAACGGTAACACTCCACCATATGCCTCAAGATTACGTGCAGGAGGACGTCGAGGGAATGATGGCGCAGGGTTCTAATTTTGGCTCCAAAAATGCGGGCAGCATTGACGAGTGCATCGCCGAGTACGGCGTCACCCAGCCCTTCGGGTCCACGTTGCGCCTAGACTACGCCAACATCAATCCAGACTACTACCTCAACGACATCGAGTATTGGGGTCTACCCTGGGAAGGCACAGGTTTAGGCAGAAACACACTCCCAGCGGGTGCGAAGGAGACTATTTATTTCGAAAATTGCTAAAACCCTTCTGTGACTTGGTGATGCTCGAGGTGCTTTAAGCGCCAGACGCATACGGCGCCGACGTTGATGTAGTCCGCAAAATTGTAGTCTGATACGTACACGGTTGCGATCGAGCTACATCGGGGTGGTAAGCAGCGTCTCTGAGTCCGCCAGACAACAATTTCATACAATTTATATCGGTATGAGATATCGAAGGATTCAAAGTGACAGTTCCCCCCCCGCCCTCCCAGACCGGAGCAGCTGCAGAGATCCGTTAGGGTGGATGAAGTTGGAGTGACAGCTACTGTGTAGGTGTTACTTGATAGAAATAAACTCTATTCGAAATATTCATGGTACCAAGTTCGTCAACTAACTCTAATTGAAAATATTAGCGACCCCAACATGTGTATTAATGCGTGTGTATGGCATCGCAACGTGGTGAGCACAAGGTAATATAGCACGCAAAATAAACTAGGGAGCACGATCCACGCACACTATTCAAGTCCCCACCTTTGTGAAGTGTCCTCTCCGCTCTGATAACGAATCAGATAAAGCTAGTACGCTCCGAACGATACGCGAAGTACACGCAACGTCACACAACCCAGCACTAAGACACGCTCGATTCACTGTACTATTACCTACTTCGGATATAACTTCGCTACTCAGTTTTTGCATAGCCAGCACGGCCAGCACTACTACATGGTCACGCCATCTTTTTCGCGACTAACCAAAGTCCCAGGAGATGCAAACTGACGCACAAGCTAAACACGCCCAAAAAGCTAGTTTTTAATAGCTTGTGCCGGAATAGACGCATGGCTATATATGCGCCTACAAAACCGCCTGATAAACTGCATAGATGCAGAAACCCCTCAGAGACACGCCATTGACCTAGTCTCGCACATAACTTATCGTGCCGCATTGCAAAGAATGTACAAGCGTTGCATAAGATATAGTAGTAGCGGAAGTGTGTAACTAAACTGAGCACCACCGACACTGTTTTAAACAAACTTTGATCAGACATATTTCTGATGTTCTGAGTCTCCGCGTTGAAGTGATGCTGAACACTGCAAGGTTGAAGTTGTTGTTGTTGGTTATAAAATGAGTTGCGACTGAAGGAAAGATCATTTTTATTTATTTATAAGATTATAATATAACAAAGTGCTGACTCGTCAAATCTACTTTATGACTCATCAACATTTCATCACGCGTCCCTGTCTACAAAGTTAAAAACATGCGCTGTATGTAAAAATACATTGTACAATATCACACTTTACTTTTACTTTTAGCGCACCGGAGGTCAAACTGCCTATGACCTATGTATCGTATTTAAATAGTTTTCGCGACGATCAATCCAGCAGAGAGTGAAAGAATCGTGTTTAAGAAATATGAGCGACGACGAGAGTGTTACCTTACGCCTTAAAACTTGCAAACAAACAACATCAGCGAGTTTGCAAGCAAAGCTAGATCTATTGTCCGATCTGGCTAGCAGGGATGATCGCTTAGAGTTTGTGAACCAATTTGTGCCCTTGGATTTATCGCAAGCGGATAAGAAAGCCTATGTCGAAGATCTAACGAGTGCCGAAGAAGCAGAGGGTCAGTGGGGCAACTTGAAGGCTGAGATAATGGCGTTGAAGGCAGGCCAAGGTGTGGTCAAGATTGAGGGGGATCAGGAAAGCGAGGCTGTGTTTTACTTCAGACATCCTCTGCTGGAGAAGTGCGACCGGGAAGTAGCCTTCGTCTGCAAAGGAGACGAGTGGCGAGCAGAGGGTTAGATTCGTTTATGAGTCAAATGTATTAGTATGTGTATGTATATGTATGTATGTATGTATATGTATATATATCGGGGGTGAGGGCCTGTTTGTGCTGATATTTCGGCTGCACCAAGCCCTTGGACTCAGAACTATACCACTGCTGCATAATTATTGAGTGGTACTTCACTCTTCGATCGGCTCGGTCGTCATTTACTACTAGGGTATTGATTGGAAAGCGATAGTTGTAGCTCATCGGTATATACAGTAGGATGACATCTGTTGGGCCTTTCTATTTAGATCGAGGCTTTATTTGCGGTTCGTGTATGTTCGTGTTGAGTTGTGTACACAGAGCAACGCTTTGGTACCTTCACGCAGCGGCATACCACCCCAACGTATACTCGGGTACCAGCGAACAACGAAAATTAGTAGACGGATGAAATCCACCGAAATCGACAAGTTACAGATCGACCCCAATCACTATCCAAAATACAATACTTCCAAGTCGACCACAGATGGATTTTTACTTGAAATCATAGTTCACACCATGCTCTAAGTGACTGCTGCTATCTATCGAATTTATATGTATCATTGCAGGTTCGCACAGCAGAACCAATTAATTATTAATAAAATAATTTACGTGTCCATATACTCATATATATATATATATATATGTATGTATATACATATTCATATATATCTATTTAGATATATATATATATATATATATGCATGTACGTATGTATATATGTATGTGTATATGTATGTATGTATGTATGTATGCAAGTATGTATGTATGTATATTTATATATATATATATATATATATATATGCATGTCTATGTATATACATATTAAACTATATCTATATCTATATATNTATATAATATAATATAGTATATATATATATAGTNTATATATATATAATATATACTACTATATATATATTATATCATGTGCCTAGGAATAAATATATTTATGTAACTTTCTGTTTATATATTCATTTCTATATATATATATATATATATCATGTGTATAGAATAGATATATTTATGA